ACATCTGGTGAAAATTTCATGTCATTAGCCCCTCTAGTAATATATTTACTGAGAAAAATGGTGACGCGTTCAGTACTTATTTTACCCGCTGTAATCCATTAAATCTGTATTTATTAAACCATCTTCTGAGCATCAGAAGCCCCGTCCTCCGGCCACGTCTCGTTTTGTGCCAGGGGTGCGTATTACCGAGCGGCGCCGGGGACCCGGGCCCACTTACAAGCTACAATAACAGCTTATTTAGAAAATGAGACAGGGGTGAAGTCACATCTTCAGCACATTTCATAAACTTAGTCAAGTTTGCAAAAGCCAGTCAATGAGATGTCCAGAGGACTTTCTGTCCACCCTGGTCATATCCCAGTGTGAGGAGCCCGKCTTACTGTAAGCATATTTGGTCAGAGAAAGTGCGCATGTTTTACCCTCCTCTTCCTCCACTGCTTCGTCTCTGTGACCCAAGATTCGAGGCTGTAATGAAAGGAGCCACACATCTCTGGCAATTTTTCCACAGTGATTCAGCTGTCAGTCAGTCTGCCCACTCTGTGAAAACAAACTGAACTCTCTCTTCCTCTGAGCCGTCACAGTTAGGACAGAAAGTAAAAATCACCGTTAGATGATAATAAGATAAGACGTACAGAACACTTAGTAATGTTTAACTATGATTTATTAAAGGAATAGTTCAGATGAGCCATCACTATAATCTGAACATCTTTAGGTTTGTCTAAAGGGAATAATCAACATAATTATCTTACTGTGTGAACCCAGCATTAAGTGTATTTGTACGAAGTATCAGTATCAAATCAGTACCACCGATACTTGCCTGAGTTTTACTTGGTATTAGAATCGAAAAGGAAATCGGTGGTATTGAATGTCGCTAACACTGATTAATTTATTCCTAATGGGGCATTTTTTTTAGTGAGGATATTTTTTGACACACCTACCACCTGCTCCACCTCCCTAAAAAAATAAAAAGGCAGGACAAACAACTCTGAGTGTCCTGTTGTCCAGTTTCTGTCATATGTATTTTATTTTGAAAGGATTATAGAGCGGAAACCGTGGTTAAGTGAGCTCGGCTTTATTCTCAGTATGTGAATCCCTCTCCACATCAATTGGATGAGTGAAAATAACAGAAAAAAACTAATTTTTGCAGAATTAGCAGCGGCACAGGTCTCTGAACCTGAAGCCTTTGTTTCGTCAGTGTTTTTACCCAGCTTTTATTTGTTTGAGGTAAAAAAAACCTGAAACAGGCAATGTCCTAAATTATAAATTGATTCTAAATCTTAAATTAAGTTCAAAACTGTAGAAACACGTATCTGTAAAGAATCAATTGGTTACACCAGCGGTGATACTGAAATATTTATTACAGCTTCTGAAATCATTGAGTCTATTGTTGCAAACCAGAGCATACAGAGCACATCCACGACTGCAGGGCCAAAATCTGACTCGTCACTAAAATGGACAGAGGACTAATGAGAGATATTACCTGAAAACTGAAACAAAACAGAAAAAGAAACAGTGTTCTGTTACTTTTGAAGTTCCTAGTGAAAAAAAAACTTCCCAGATAACACAGAACAGTTGTCACATCTAAGTGCTKAATAAACCTTAATCTGTCATTTATTTGTTTGCAAATTGCTTTTTTTTTACTGGAGGTCAATCAACTCGAAACCTGATGGCTACAAACAAACAAGCCATGATCATAGCCAATAAAGAAAAAAAATAAGAAAGTTACGACCATTCTTTGTTAAAGTTTCTTTAACAATTTTTTTTTCTCTTTGAGGAAAGAAACAAAACCACTTCTAGTTTTTCTCACTCCAAAGACTCTTTCTTTAATAAAAACCACAAACTTTATTATTATTATTACTTTTTGTACAAGTGCACGGTGCACAACAAGGTCCAATTCGTCCTGTTTTAAAGAAGTGTTTCCTAAATGTCGATACAAATGCAAACGTTTATTTCCTTCACAATTCGGTCTTCTCAAATGTTTCTGTTATCTACACAGAGAAAATGAAATAAAAACAATCAAAAATGGAAAAAAGTAACCTGAAAAGTGAACTGCTTTAACAGATATGCTTGCACAATAAGTGTGTGTTTTGTTCTTCTTAAGATATTATTATAATTTTTGTGTGTGTGTGTGTGTGTATGAAAAGTGGTATAACAGAAAACCAGGGTCCAGCAATACAAAACAAACCTGTTCTGAATCACTACGTTAACAGAGACAAAAGGTTTGATCCCAAAAAAATAACAAAAGCATAGTTATGTGCAAAGCTAGTTATCTGTACAGTTACATAGAAATATGTCATAATTCTCTCATTAGTCTTTTTTCTCCCTCTTAACAAATGTTATTACAGTAAATAAAAGGGGGGACCCAAACAAACAAACAAACAAAAAAAAAACTAAAAACAAAAAATGAAACAGCATTCCATCCTTCATGGTAATTGTCCAAAATGTGAGCAAGTTGGATTTTTTTTCTTTGACATTTTTATTTAAATTTTTTTGCTGTTTTTTTTTATATTGAAGGAACACTTCAGCAAACAAAATGTGCTGCAACTCACCAAAAGAGGAAGAAAATATTTCAAAAAGTCTGTACAGATACAGAAGTATAATAAAATAGTCTTTTTTTCCTTTTTAAATTTCACCATTTGTTCTGGTTAAGTCTAAGAGTCTAGACTGTAGGACCATCCAGTTCCTCGTCACCCTAAAAAAATGTCTCTCTTCACTACGAGACAAAAAAACCATGAAGGTTTTTTTTAAAGAAAAAGGTGTAGGAGGGAGGCTGCAGGACACAACATCAACATCTTGGAATGTCTAACCACATAAAGTCACATCAGCCCCTGTTTGATTGGATAAACTGATGCAGTTTGTGGCCGGGTAACGGCCTCGGTTTTCGGGACACGATAAAAACAACGGCTACCACTGCCGACGAAAGATGGAGCAGAGGGAACATGGACTAGAGGAACAGAGGTGTGTCAGAAGGAGGGGTGTAGGGGGGTCTATAGGCTGGTGACCAGGTGTGAGGGATCCTGGTGGACCTCTTCTGAAGTTAGATCCTCTCTGTTGGGGGGCGCGATGAAGCCATCGCTGCTGCCCCGCCCCATCTGGTAGTAGGAGTGCAGCTGGTGGAGGTGGTTCCGCGAGCCCAAGTTGGGCATGCTTTTGTAGTAAATGTCGTCCGAGCTGGCCTCCGGGCTCTTGCCGCCGTCCCCGCCCTCCTTGGAGCCGTGGGCGGATCCCGCGGACACGTCGGGCAGGCCGGGCAGCATGGGCATGCTGTTGTAGAGGGAGTCTCTCTGGTGGCTGTGGCTGGGCGAGGAGCCTTCGTCTTCGGTGTGCTCGTTGTTCAGCAGGGGGAAGAAGCTCTCGCTGTTCTCCTGGGGGATCCTCCTTCGAGATGACGAGGAGGCGGAGCCGGAGGAGAAGGGGTGGTGCGTCAGCGGAAGCGGCGGCGGAGGCATGGACTGGTGGAGGTGGTTGTGGAGGTTGTCCACCGCCTGAAGAGTTGGCAGTGGCCTTTGTGGCAGCAGAGGGGCGTTGGACTCCTCGCGTATCAGCTCCAGGCCCAAACCTTCGTCGTGGTGCGGACCAAACGTAGAGTGATCATCGAGGTTAAGCGCTACGTTCATCCCGATCCCCACTCCTAAGCCCATCCCGTAGCCGTTGTCCTTGCCGCCATTGCTAACGTTGTTGACCAGCTTGTTCATGAGGTTGCGGTTCTGCTCGTTGGAGCGCTCATGGGAGTTGTTGAGGTAAGAGGGGATGTAGTTGGAGGTGAGCTCTTTYAGGATCTTCTTTTCTAGGGTGGTCTCCTTGTGGTTGTAGCCCCGATCGATGATCTGGACGCAGTCACTCATGTAGTCAGCGCTGGCAATGCTGTAGCTGTTCCCATGGTTACCATTCAGTGGTAGAGTATCCATGACACTTGTATCCCGGGCATTGTTCAGGATTCCCTCTGAAAAAAAAAATAAAACATGGGAGCACGGTGAGGAGRACGCATTGTTTTCAAAAAGTAACTGCCACAGATAAACAAGATTACAGACAATAACCGTGTCTTTTAAAGAAAGTTAGTGTGGGTTCTGAGGAAAAAAATATTCCACGTAATAAGAGTGTTTAGATATTTTAATTTGAGAGCTTGTAGAAAAGTTATAAACAATTAGTTTGTGGCTTGATGTAGAAAAGTCTTTGAAACTGAAGGAAACACCCCCCCCCACCATCAACACAGCTAACTCGTCGTTAGCTCCTTATTACTGTCTAGAGCTGGCTCAGACTAGTCGTTAGCTCCTTACTACAGTCTAGAGC